TAAATAAGAAAGCAGTATTGCAAAAAAAACCAACTTGTCTTCCCTCGTCATCTAAATGTGGTCCGTTAGATTTGATTTCACCTTCGTCTTGTGATTGACTGTATTTCCTTTATTGCTAATCCCTTTATTTCTAAAATATTCAGCTATTGCGGAGATAATTAGGGTGGAATGTAGCTTTTAACTCCGGCACTTCTCCACAAAACCTCGCATGACTGCTAACGAGGCATCACCACCATCATTATCAACGATGTAATAGAAAACTCTCTCATTTTGATACAAATTAGTCGTTGCCTCTAATTCTCGTCCAATGGGCGATTTTATTATAACTACACTCTACTACGGAAGCATTTTCACTAGAATAGTTGAGGTCGAGGCTTTATAAAAGATGGAAATAGGGCATTTTGTCAAGGTCTGGTTGGGAACGACCCGTTGTATACCTAATGCATTGCAGAACCTTCACAGATGACTCAACAAATAGCCGGGAAATTTGGAAATATTTTGCTACCCTTTCTTTTCAGTTAAGACGGTGCATACTTATCAAAACACTTCCTGTTAATAACCCATCATGATTCACATTCATTTAAAAAAAGTAAAGCCAGCTTCATTGTTAGGAGTAATGATGGCATTTTTCAATATTATTACCTCAGAATCATTAGCCTACAGGTTAGATATGCATCATTTCCTCTTCCAGTAGCTACTAATTGCGGAGGAATTGTGCTATATGCCTCCCATTCAGCTGGTCACATGTCATCTGAATTTCCCGTTTCTGGTCTACGGTTTATTTTATGGGAAAATTTTTCAAATTAGATAACATTAATAAGTCTTTTTGAAATAATACGCCCAAGATTGTATCAAAAACCACTTAAATTGTTTCTATTGGTGAAGGCGCCTAAATAAGTTGTGAAAAGTTAGTCAGTTGGTCCATACTTACGACCTACTTGCGACTAACTAAAACACGATGCCCTTTAGATTTTTTTAATTTGGTGAGGGAAAGATTTTTTAACAAATTTTTCAGCCAAAATATTTAAATGGGGTGCATAATTACAGGATGGACAAATAGATTCTTGCCACTTATGTAGTAAAAACCTAATGAAGAACTTTTCATTGCTAGGAGTAACCACCACTCCTACCTACCATCCCTCTCAAATGAGACGGGATGGCTGAAAATCCCTCTTTCATCAGACTTTCCATTATGAGGGCGATAGCAGCCAAAGTTAACTAGGGGTAGCATTCATACAAAAACAGCGCCATCAAAATCAGTCTCTAAAGCTGAGCTTGAAGAGTTTTCCAGACACATAAGACATACAATCCATTAAATATTTTATTTTGCTTAAAAGCTATGAAAATGACTTTTCTTAAGGATTTTAATGCCCCTAGGCTCATTTACTGCCAATCAACTGACACACCGACATAAACAAGTCCTCTGTTCCGCTGGTCTGGCATAAAACTGTGTCTGTGATAACACTTTAAATTTATGATTAATTGCCTTCCTCGGCACCGTTTCCTTTTACCTATCTCCCCCCCCCCCTTTTAAGAATTTCGATGTGATTTACAAAGAGTGTGGATAATAGGTCCCAGTAGATTGAGGATAAAGTCTTAAAAGTTATTTGACGCAAAATTACTTATTTTCAACCCTTTCCTAGATCCTTCTACAAATTATCAAAAAAGAGCCATTTTTTACTAGCTTTTCATGAAGTGGTCAAATGTGTCATCCCGTCTTGACTGTTCCACACCTCCTTCCAAAGTTACAAACTTTTCAGTTTAAGCTATTGTATAACATTTGCTTAAATAATGAATTTGGCTCCAATTCTAACCTAAGCAATCGTTGATCTTCAACAAATTTCCTTGCACCATCAAAAGCCTCGAACGTTTTTACAGACATACTAGCTAGAAATCGGCGTTCTTTCCAACGTCACATGAGAATCTTAAGTGTAAGTGTCCTCAAGTTTTGGAAGTAGGTGAACTAAAAATTTGTTATGGTTTACCACATAGCTCTCTGCAATGATTTGTTGAGAGTTGGGGAGAAAGTATATGTAAAATTGATGCCTCTGTGGACAATTTAGACCTCAAGTTCTGGACTTCAGTATCAGAGACACAAATCCTTTTGGTAGCATTTCTTCTACCGCTTTCAAAGATATGGCACTAACCAAATATATCATCCATACTAAGTGGAAAAGTTGACTTCATTTGACTACCCTGTCAGCATTAAAGTAATCATGCTTTAAACAACCTTTCATTCATAATAACAACTAACAAACCAACCCCTTTAGCTGTAGTGGTGGGATGAAATTGTATCAATAATTCATCATGCTGAGGGATGCCCCTTCAAAGAATTTCACGTTAATATTGATGAGGAAAGTAATTGCTGACTGACGTGTTCAGAGGTTGGAGATTTCTTTAACGTAGTACTCAATGTGAGTGAGAATGTAACAGTTGGATAGAGGTGAAGCAAATGATTCTCACCCAAATATCACACACTAACAGAAGACTGTGATTGAGACAGTCTGTTCTTCACCCATGGTATAAGGTTTATAAAAATCAAGTTATACATTGCAGATGCATTGTTGACTGACTAGCTGACTTGCAATGCAAAAGATCTTTAAATTACTTATTTTGCTAAACAGACGAATGTTTCAATCCCTACTTACAAGCCACACTTCCAACACATGCAGCGTGTGAATGTGTGGTGGAGCGCAGATGAATTTTTTGAGGTCTGTCCACCCTACATTATGAGATATGGTACGAATGAATCCAAAATATCTCCAAGATGTGCAGGTAAGACCTTCTCATCCTCCTCCTCATCTCGTCCCTCCTTTTCTCATTCTTCTTCTTTTTGTTTTAATTTTCTCTTCGTTTTCTTTTTATTCAGAATAGTTTAGAAGTTACTAAAGCTTCTAGAATGTAAAAATTGCTCGTGAGAAATTCCCATATTACATTTTGAGGTCAGGTAGAATTTGCAAGGAGGTTGGAAGGGAATGAGAGATGGGAGAATGAGATGCTGCCGTATCCGTAACATTAGCCTCATCCACCTCATTCCCCTCGTGACATCTGTTTTAGTGATGATTACGAGCCTTCCTTGGCATCGAATACACATGCTGGGCGACGAGCCAGAATAAACGAGAACATGTGACTGGGAAACAAAAGTGGGGTAGAAAAGGAGATGGGTGGGTTGTTTATGTGATAAAATTTGATTCATTAGTTAGCTTTTAATTTGTAGGGGAAGAGAAGTTAGCTCTTTTAAACAATAAGTGAAAATAAATAAAATCTCACATTAATCTAATTTGTTTATTATAAAAATGTCACGATCTTATTTGTCTACCTCACAGTTTCACATAAATTAGGCATTACTTAGGTTAATGACCTACGTTTTTTTTAAAAATTTTATTGCAGCCATAGGGGGACCTCATCTAAAACACTGCCCATTAATTCTTCAATGTGTGCCGCTAGTGTAGGTATTGTCTTCGGTATGCTGCAGTCTTTTACGACATTCTTGAAGCTGCCAAGGATGTTTAGAAGCTTCCATATTTACAAATTATTTGAAATCATTTCCAATTAGTGGGGAGGAAGAGCACTTTGAAGTATTTGACTCCTCCATGAGTGGAAGAATAAGCTACGATTCAAGAAAGGTAGGAACGACATTCTATCATAAGCTAAGTATTGTAGAGAGAACTTATTGGGACAAGAATCTTGCTCTCAGGGTTGGCTATGGATAACTTGAAGAGTACGGAAACGTATGACGAGTGTAGAGAGATTCAGGTGTTAAACGGCTACAGGTAAGACCAGGATGATGGAGTGAGATCCTTGAAGGTGGTCTCCAAAGTCTCCTCAAGTGTGGCTTAGGCTAATCGTACTACGGTAAATCTCGATCGAATTCACTTATATACTTTTACAATGGCCCATGCTAAGTGTCAAGCAACAGCACCATTCAAAACGAAGAAATATAACAGAATATTATTTGTTTTGAGCAAGTGCTTTTGGTCCTCTTCCAACCCTTCTGTTGACCTTAAGAAGTACATCAGGCGTTTAAAATTGTCACGTTGAAACTTTAAAATAACCTCAAAGTTTAATGGAACTTTCAAATTTACATGCGAAATCAAGAGTGCTGTCATGGCGGTGATAAAAGTGGTAGTAGGTGACAGGTGTACCCTACCAAAGAGTAATAGCAGCTCCATGTAATAAGTAAGTCTAACCCAGTCCAAACACCCTCAATCGAGATGGCGGGCAACATTGGTAGTGCACAGTAATGAAAATTTTTATTAACAAGGGCACAAAAATTGTGGCTGTCTGTTTGTACAGTAAGCCTCAACCAGAGTATGATGACAGTAATGACAGGTATACATTGATTAGACATTTAAACTACCTAGGTACTTCAAAGATGTATGGCCATATATTCGTTAGTAATGATCCTAACTATGCTGGCTCCCAGTCTACACCCTCAGCAGTCATCCCTGTTCATGACCAACTGGTAGATGCATAACCGGCCTTCCGTGGAGGTAGCATAAGAGATCAGGTGGTTCCAAAGAACCATTCTACACCGAAGATTTGGAGACATAAGGTAAATGGTTGAAACAGAGGGCGATATACATGGCGAAATATTATTGTAAAAAAATTGGTGATATTTTTTAAACTCAACAGTCCCGATTTGACTTGAGCGCCCCCCAGTATTTAACTAACTGGTGTCTCTATTTCACTTCAAAATATCCAGCATATCCTTCATTACCGGAAGGCACCTTTACTGGTTTAAACAGTAGTAATAGTTTAGTATTACCAATAGTAGCAGCAATAATAACGGAAGTATTCGTATTATGAGGAGCAGCAGTAGCAGTAGCATTAGGAAGGAGGGGGACGAATTCACGTGTGGCTTTGTGTACAGGCGGGAGGGTAGTTTCAACGGCCTCTTCCAAGCGTCGAACGCTTTCGACACCGGGGTGAGTATGGGTTGGACTGATGGTTGGAAGGATGGATTGGTGGGTGGATGGATAAAATCACTAAACAGCGCTTCAAGACTGTCCGTTGAAGCCATAGATCGTTGAGGGGGGATCGCCGGCACTACCACCGCTGCCACCACCACCACCACCACCGATGACACCACCGATACGGGCTGAAAATTGGTCCGAGGATTCACCTGAATGTGTCGATGAGGCCACTTCGTGGCCTATTGGCGCCGCTTGGCTTACTAGAAGTGGAAGAGAGGAAACTTTTATGAATTCAAACAAATTATTGTCGATATGACTGATTCTAGTAATTTATGTTAGTTTCCCATTGTAAACATAATTCAGATCCGAAATTATTTTCCTTTTAAAGATTACGCTAATCATTTTAAAAATCCTGAGGTTGCATTCCCCGAAACTCTGTATCTTTCAGGTATTTTAGAAAATTACTTAAAAAGGGTTTAAAAGGTACACTATCGCAGTTTGACGTTCTGCAAAATCTAATGCACGATGCAGAGCGGTATAAACAAGCATGAAATATTTATTCAAGTATAAGGATTCATTCCTACCTTCCCATAATTTTCGCTACTTTTTCCACAAATAATCAAATTTAAGAAATCTAGATTAAAATATTACTCAAGTACTGGTTTTCATGAGGGCTATCATGGTCACATATTTTATGATTCTAAGGCAAAATGTTTCGTCGCTCGGATGGAGTTAGATCAGACGTAATTCCAAATTTTCACTAGAAAATTTGTTTAATTACATTTTACAGTCACAAATTTTATGACGTATTAAAACAAGTCGCTAAAACAAACCCGACTAACGGCTGCAAAGTATGTAAATCTTGAAATATCGTCCCTCATTATGAAGAATTAAATCAATTTCTTTGAATCGCGTTGAGCCGACACACCTTTGGAGCCAACAGCTTCTTTGAAGTAAAGATTGTGGCCTTTCAAAAGCGCTTGCTGACCCACTTTTCCATGCCAAGTTGGTATGCGTAGTGCATTTTGCATTTGTGAGAAACTAACTTCATGCGACAATAGCTAGTAAGAAACCATTTAAGAATTTTGACCTTTAAATACGTCTGACTCTTTCCACTCATTAGTTCAGCCACAGGTACTGATTACCAATTATACTTCAAGACTGCAAAATACGTCCCTGTATCTTTTTCTGAGACCTTACTGCTATTTTAGGATACAAAGAACCCAATAAATGGAAAACAACACTTTACCAGTCTTGTTTATAGTAAAAATAGTTTTAAACAAAAATTTATCATAACTTTATGGAATATTTAGCCTCCAAAACACTTTCCACAAGCGCGTCAGCGTTGATTTTATTTTCTTGACTCGTAAAAATCTAAACATTATTAGCATTTATATGGGAATATTAGCTGCGCAATGACTTAATTGAAACACAAGAAAGACAGGAAACCTGATTTGAACAATCCATGTGCATACGTGAACAAAAAACACTAGCCGCAGAAAATCTGCAAAAATCGGAAGATTTGGTGTCTCTGCATGTCGCAGGAAGGCTGGACTAACTCCGGTAGATGGTTTAGGCGCCATTATAACACACAATCAGAGGAAACAATGCAGTGAATTAGTTTAAAGTAATTTTTAGTTCAGCTATCGGTCGTCGGTCAGAGAGCATGATACAAGATCTATTAAAAGCTACAAAAAGAATGGCTATTCCTTCGATCAAGACTTATCCCCATACCAGTTACATTCCAGTCCATCACTGTTATTACGGGAGTTTATCGGGTAAAAGCAGCGGAAAGTGGGCGGAAACAAAGACGGAGAAGAGTCATAGCAAATTTAAAGTCTTTCGTAATAGCGTACCTACTTAAACAATTTCTTTAAACACACATCACACATATATCAATCTGATTTCCTCACCTGAGACCGAAGTCACAAATGTCTGACGTTTTCATTATCTATTTATGATAACCATTCGCATGAAATCGTGTCGCAACCACAGTCATTAGGTTAGTAACATGAAAATAAATGTAAACTGTTGTTAACCTGAAAAAATGATGACAAACATTACTAACGATAGTGGGAACGAAAAAAACATTTGAGTGTAATATAACGATGGTGCTCCAAGACAAAATTCGGATAGAAAACTTTGCATTTCTAAAGCGTTTTTCAAAGCACTGACCTAAACTCGGCTCCTCAAAATGCAATAAAGCGTGATCCAAAGGAAATTGTATGAAAGCTTTTAATCTAGCCATTGGGTAATTTAAGGTCCATCAAGTCTCCTCAAAATGCATCCTTTGGTTTGCTTGGTTTTGAGTAACCACCCGAGCCAAGGAAATTGAATACCATTTCCAAGTTCTTTCCCATAGATGGAATCCACATCAGCCACTTACCGGTTTGGGTAGCCCAAAAGGGTTGATGGAACTGTTGTTGCGATAGGGATCTTTGAATGAACGTGCCCGTCGGTGATGTCCAAGCATACGCAGCAGCTGCGGCGGCAGCAGCATTGGCAGAAGCGGGGCCCTGATGTTGATATAGAGGAGGCGAAGCGTAGAATGGTTGTTGAAGTATCGCCTGAGTCGATGTAGCCGCGTCCACCAACTGTCGATGCGCCGTAGAGTATTCTCCGACTCCCCATCCTCCGATTCCAGCAATGAAGGGCAGCCCATTTCCACTCTGTCCACCAAGAAGGCTTGCTGATGCGTATTCTGGACTCATTGTACCTGGAGTATTGAGGAGTTAATCGAACATTCATAGGAACAAGTCTAGGACGGGTTAATGGAAGTTTCGCTCACTTGCAGCCAGACTATCAGCATCGGATTCACCGTGAACGCTCTGATACACTACGGAAGAGTCATGCTGGCGATTACTAAAGGTGGAAAAATAGTTTGCTCCGCGGTTGTTGTTATCGGAGCTTTGTTGTTGTTGCTGTGGTTGTTGAAATTGTAGCAGAGGATGGCCGTTTACAATAAGAGAGGGATGGCTGCGCTTGAGATCAATTTGAATCAACCCGTTGGCTGTGTGTACAGGGAGCTAAATTGAAAAGAATTTCATCTTTGAGTAAACATGATGGGAAACGCACAAGTATCGCTTCGGAGGATAGCGATATTATTTACTTCAGAGGACTTTTTGCATAAAAGCGAATTCATTTTACTTGAGGAAAAGGCCTCCACAAAGGCTTTCTTCGCTTGTCGAGCTTGAGTTGGTATCGAAATAGTTTAAAATTAATCTTGCAAACAATAAATTTGTCCATTTCTGTGAGATTTTCTGCTTACGCTGGAGGCGAATTTCAAAGGGAAACCGTGTAAAAAAGGGAAAGGAGAGCAGTGGATCGCGACAAATACTTTTTATAAAGGCCACAGAGCCTGGCACACATGCCGAGCCAAAAATCCGCATTTATATTTGGCAGGCGAATATTTCGACAGAAGAAATGTGTGTGTGTTCAGTGTGCTTTAAGAGTGGGAAACAAGCGAAGGCCCCGTTTATTCTCCTTAAAGTAAAATTATGTATAAAAAACGGGTGGATTGTGAAATAACCTTTCAATTAGTGGGAACGATTTGGACTAAACTGTTGTATCTGGGCCTTTACGATCTCTTCACAGACTATCATATTTATGTCAAGGATTTTTGTTTTTGATTGCCATTGCAAAAAAGTTATTTTAAAAATCCCTTTTAAGTAGCTGAATCTAGGAAATGGTAGAATTGAAATATCCAAAGGGAACAGAAATGTTACATTTACTACCGGAAAAATTCAATTGCCAAAAAGGGAAAGACCATACACATAAGAGTACGGATGAGAAACTTGCATCAGCAAACTCACAATTCAAACGTAACATGCAATTTCAATCTTTAAAACTAGAAATATGAAGGATTCTCGCCGCCCACTGTCTTTGTCAGTTGAAAGAGAGTGGATTTGTGGTAAATAATAAGATCCCAAAGACGTTAAGTCATGAACCAGAAATGCATTTCAGGATTTGTTATTTAAAGTCACTGTTTAATATTCAGCCTTCCTAGCAACTTTACCACTTCCACTAATTCATTTGGTTGGGCTTTACTTTTGAACAAGAGCTCTTGCGAAACGGAAGAAAGTCCCAAGCAGATGTCGATTCCAAGTAGGCTGATAAACTATTTGCTACAGTTTAAGCAACCTCTAATGAACATTGTATACAAGAAGATATTACAACCTCCGAACGCATAATAGACTCGATTTAGGCCTTCATATATCATCTTATATCCAGGCAGTTAAGGCAGGCCAGCCAGTCTTGCCCACAAACACGTTAGGCCTTAACATCGTTGCTAAGTGAAACTAGTCGCCATCCTTTCCTTATTGCTATAAAGGTGCCTTTTCGATTTTGCTGCACCCGTGCTCTTTAAAAACAATCTAAATCACTGCAAGATCTCCCACCACGTTCTTTGTGACATTCCAATACGTGGTTTGTGTTGAATTATGTGCGGTAAAAAGAATCAGAGATCTTGAAACAGCAAACAAACTAATACAGAATGCTCCTGGCCTGAAGGCGATTTGAATTTGTTTGGTTCTTTATTTTATGAGAGTTTATTGAATTGGTCATTTCGGTAGTGCGTGCGTTAGTGTCAATTTAAAACAATAAAACACTTCGGCTGTGATGATTACTTTGGCTCTAGGACTCCGGTCATGAAAACGGCAAAATGCTCTTACCGAAGTGACAGGGAAAGACGGTAGGGCTGCCTCATTTCGCATGGGTGCGGAGGGCTGTGGTTGAAAGGCAGCGGTGGCGGTGGAGGTCATTACAGGCGAGGAGTGCGCGGACTGTGCCAGCACTTGCTCGTATTGGTGAGCTGATGGAGACAAAATTCGCACCGCACTGGGCTTTCCCGCGCAACGTGAACGAAAGAGTTTTACCGCCATAGAGGTGAGAAGGCGCTTTGCAAGGGGACGACCGCTAACCCCACTACCTCCATTCTGCTCCACTGGAAGAGCGGGAACACCGGTGTAAGCGAAGAAAGCGCCGTCACGAAGACCTGGATCTAGAAGCGTGTAAAACAGAATTAGGGGAACCGGTGAAACTTAACATCTTTTGGTGAATTCCGCGGGGTTAGGGAAAAATAGGTTAGAGTGGCTTGTGAACGCGGATTCTTACAGATGATGAAGGGGGAAGTGCTGGAGGCTTGATGGCTTAATAAGCTGGAGTTTGCGCAGTCGCAATCTGAAAATAAGGCATCGGAGTTAAGATTTTCTTTGTGTTTTAACGTCCCATAATAATACCACAAAAAATACACGCATTTATGGGACTTTGTGGTCACCTGCGATTCATTCCTTGCGTAAGTAGCATGAACCTCTAATAATGTTACCTGTTACTGGTTTGCTAGATTTTCCTTACACAAGTAATACAGTTTCTTCGAGGCTCGTGTTTGCGACAAAATCCTCACAATCACCCCCATTGTCACATTAGTGCTAACGTGGTGCGATACGTTTGACAAATTCCACGCCTAGCGATAAATATTGTCGCCTTCACCGGCACATCAAAGAATGTTTACATCTGACCAGAATGCCTGATTCATATAAGGGAAAGGCAGATATTGTGGGTGGCTTTGTTTGTCTCACAAATGGCTTCATTTCACTGAGGCATTGTTGTGATGGCTGACGTTGATCCCAAGGGCATTGAGAAGACACAGTTTATGTACAGAAACCATATTTAGCCCTCATTAAGTAATGCCAGTAAAACATCTACCGCTAGTCTACCCTTTTTTCCTTCTGGTGATAAATAAATGCTTAAATACTCTTAAAATCCACATAGCTCCAATGTCCCTTACAAAGTGAGATTTTGTGGCTTATTGTGATAACGGACTCACCTGTATTAGCCACTGCCACATATCCCAAACCACCGTCAAACGATGGCTGAGAAACAGTATTTGCCGTGGTGCAGCCACCACCACCGCCGTTAGTGATTGAGAGACCCGGCCACCGAAAGAGACCCACACTGCCAGACTGAGCCTTCAACAATTTCCCATTCGCGGACTGTAGTTCACTTCGCGAATCCTGGTGGCGTTTTTTGCGTCGTTTTTGCATCCACGCGATAGAGAAGCAGGCCACACCGACTAGTAGGATCATGAAACAGCAGAGGAAGACGAGGATAAGAACGAGCATTGTAGGTCCCTGGTAGGGAGGTGGATCGATGACTCTTAGGGGACCTCCATTGGCTTCGTTGATGAGGTTTTCAAAATCTTCCTCCTCGTCGTCAACATCGCCCGCTTTAGAAATGTGATTGATGTTATTGCCGTCATTGACGTTGGTCTTGTCCACGGCTGGAAGATACTGTGTCTCCATCAATGACGAAGAGGGAAAAGGTTTTTCTGTAGAATATAAGAAAATTGAATCAACAGTGATACCCAGGAAATTGGATGCAAGAAGACCAGAAGGTATTTACTGGTTTCTTGGGACATGTGCATCACTTACACCATGGAAGCTCTCAATTCACCCACCGGAAGCTCGGCTTAGGCCTTCAAAATTCCATCTGTCCAGACCTACTTCGAGATACCCAGCACATGGTAAGTAAAATCTTTTCATACATGTCGTTGTCCATCGTACTGAATGTATCGCGCTTGTTGATGTATTGAGCTGCTGATGAATCCCATAGTTAGAAATGGCAAAAGTAGTAAAAATTTCACAAACAATTTGCCTTTTGCATGAGGTCTGGATGGGTAGCATCGATAAAATAGAGCATATTAGATGCAATACTTTGCTTCCTTGTTTTATCTGAGGGACCATAGCTTTTATAAACGTCTTCTTTACACAAATATCAACAAAGGATAGTCATAGAAAACATGTCATTTCGACGCACTTAGGAAGAAAAAATCAGCCAAATGCTTTGAAGATCAGGAAAAAAATGCAAAAAGATGAGAGATATTTTAAGTGATATGAAGGAGCATATAGTTTAGAGCCAGCTTAAAAATTTATTCATAGAGGAATAAAAGTAGAATTGCATATGAAGTTATGACTTCAAAGGAAAGAGGGAATACGGAAATTGACTCATTTATAATTAAGAGGTAAAGGCCGATTTGGACAGAAAAGGACTGTTTGGATCAGAAAATGGCAGCAGTGTTTCATCCAGAATGTACAATCATTGAAGTGACATGCATAATGCTCGAAACACTGTTGCAAAGGCACTTGTAGAATACGTTATCCGAATTCGTGATTCTCTCAGCTCGTTTAGATGGTTGTAATTTGAATTTCCAGAGATTTTTTCGCTGTTTTGTGAGAAGAAATATCTTCCTAATGCTGTACGCGTATGCCAACAACGTCCTCGTATCCATCTTCAGCCCATACTACCCCGTCTATGAAAGACTACTTATCCTTTTGGGTGCATTCCACCCAGGTATGTTCATAAACATGGGGTAGCCGCAAAAAGCGTCTTGGAGTAATTTATTTGTTGAAATAATGACCATTTTATTCAACCATCTCTTTCCAATGAGACACGTAATTAGTTTGCATTAAACGTCTGTCTCCATGAGGCGCGTAGAAATCTAGGCCTAGCCGCCTTCGCTCTCGTTTTCCTTTGTTTCCCAACTTCCGTTTCGTATGGGATCTACTGCCAAGAAAAAGTGTTAATCGCTTGGATCACGAAGAAGCATAATTAGAGAAACATAGAGGATGATAATAAGATGGGGCAGTTTCTTTCCCATTTGGCATCCTAAAGTACAGTATGAGGTCGCCTCGCGGAATAAGTTTTCTTCAGTTTGGAGTAAGACATTTTGCATTGTATCGAAAGAATGGGATTTTCTTCCAATTGACTGAGTAGTTTTAAATGCTCATGAGGAACCTGGTCCCCACGTCTTTGGGCTGTTAGGAGCAAGCCTTCAGCAGACATCCTCAAGTCACATCACTTCAAAATGAATTGACGTTCAGCTCAGGTTGCTTATGAGCGCTTGCATACATTTTACACGTGTCTCCGAGTTATAAGAATTCACTGAATTGAACTAGACCGCAAACTGTAAGAATTTCCTTTCCTCGCTTGGCGAAAATATATCTCTTCAGCGTTGGCTTAATCAAACAAATGAATAAAGTTTAATTAAAAGTTGTCCTTTTCGTTATTTTATTAAAGGTATGCTAAACAGGAAATCATAACAACAGGAGCACTTACCAATTCACTACAGCCCTCCGGAAATGAACGATCACTGAACTCAGATCGTATGTTTGCGAGTTAAATCATAAACATTGACCAAAAATCCGCAGGATTGAATTACTTTGCGGTTGTTTCAATTAAAATGAAGCATTTTAAATTATCACTTCTAAGTATTCCCCAATTTTTCTTGTTAGAAATTTTACTTGGTTGAGGAGTTGAAATTGAAATACACTTATCCTCCCTTTGTGATAATCCGGGGGGAGGATTAATATGCTTGTAAAATTGCTCATAAATCCATTAACTAAGTCGTCACCAAGATCCATCCACTTTATCTTTCAAATTTTCCTTATTGTTTGCTGTCAACCAATTCATATGCTGCTCATTTTTGAAAAAAAAAACAATGTGCAGCTAATCAGCGCTTTAAAATTAGCCAATCTGCTTGGGATAGACGACTTAGTCCAACCAGTTATCACAAATCTAAATGGAGCATGTGATGTCACGTATTTGTGACGGCAAATCCAGGTGATGAAATTGAGGCGTCACATGTAAGCGAAGCTAATATCGACTGCGTGGTAGAGGTTGAAGATTTCAAGATCACTGAGTCAACTCTTCACCTTTTGCCAGTCTCCTTTGAGCTCGTGTAAAACTTGTTAAAAAAAGGGAAAATTTTTGAGGACCCTGGGCCAGCCTCGACGGCTTTTTCTGTATCAAAGCAGTTCTTCCTCTACTTCAAATGCCCTGCTTTATCTTAACCCTCTTCAGCCGAATCATCTGACGTTTCACAGTTTTCGTGTGTGATGGGAAACGAAACATTTTATTTTATCAGAAATCAAGCCAAATAAAACAACTTTAAACATAAATAAAAAATAAATGAAAAGTTTATTTTTTTACCCATTTTTCCAAGTGAGTTAAACAAAAATATGGTCAAGTAAACAAACAGGCAATCGACTTAATGGGTATGTTTTGAAACTAATGAAAGGGTTAACTCCAACATTACAAACAACCAAAAATAAAAAAAGCAGTTGGCCAATTGGTTCCGAAGATGAAGTTAAAGAACTACATCGAAAAGGCATCAGATCCGATTCAAAAATGATTACCCGTGGGGATCAGATAAAATCCCAGTGTTACGAAACTGCTTGTCAAAAGCCTCGAGACAGCTTAGTTCGGACTCAGTTTGTGAGTGACCCCGTCAAATTGGAGTCGATACTTAAAAAACAATCTCATGTATCTTCTTTATCAAGTCAATACAAATTAAAAGGACTCTTTTATTAGGCCATTCTCACCATCAACGGCCCACCGAATATGTGGTCGAAATCACCTACCAGATTCGTCGAACCGTAGATTGGGAGAGTCCTCACCTCCTGCGTAACCACTGAGTCCATTTTTATTTCCCGCAACTGCAAAAAAATCAAAAGAAGGCATCACAAAGTCGAAAACAAACAGAAGTGGACCTCATGAGGGGAAGGAGGGGGAAGATCCACCGTTCTTCCGTGGCATTTTTGTCTTGCAAGTGGCGAGAGATTAGGCGTGTGATTTTCTAAAGGTCAGTACAACAATGGGAAATGTCAGTCGCGTTTGGGAATATCCACCTGCACGCTTACACAAAAGCAGTTCATACCGTCTTCTATTCTAGTTGTTATTCCAATTGTGGTTTTTCTAGCTGAATATTAATGGTATTTGCGTCTTCTGTTCGTCAAAATTTGGTCAAATTTAGTTGACTGTGGACCAATAAAAAATGAATCACCATAACCTTCGAAAAATGACAAAAGAAACCCAAAAAACCTACGACTAAGGTTTGTCTAACAACTTTAAGGAAGAAATTTATTTAAAAGTGAGTGTAACACTCAGAAGAATGTTCTTATACATAGCGCTTGTTGTTGGAATATCACCTGGTCCTTAAGTCGACTACTCCAAGTAGGTCCCCTCAATACGGCAGATAAGAGAATGCCTGTCGAAGTTCACTTGATGTATCACTACCGCTACACACCAAATCGTTTTCTTTCCTTTTTCTTATAAATGATTTCACTGCACCCCATAACCATTGCGACGACCAGCACAGACGCGTAAATATTGAGAAAGTCGAGGGCGACGTTCAAAAAATGTGGAGACAGTGCTCCGAGTATTTTCGGGAACATTTAGCCAGAAGCACCACAATCCCCTGGTTAGTTATGCATGGCTCTAATTGTTCTGCTAACGCTTTCAGCATTTTATTCATTCATTATTTGTATAGCAGGACTATTTATTATAAAGTGTGACCTTATCAATGTCAGATTATTTGACAATGGGCTATAGGATAAAGACAACCCACGAAGGCATTTCAGTAGATATGGTAGACTAACCGCTGATAAATCGCGTCTCGCTAAGAACAATCCATTCGTCATCGAAGAAGAGCTTCACTTGGACCACCCGTCCGTTCTTTTTTTTAAGGTCCACAATCAACGGTTCGGAGGAGAAGGTTTGGACATCCAGAAATGCATCTGGTGTGGCAGAAAATGTCAATCCATCCACACTCACTGCGACTTCTATTCGTCGGGGCATTCGAATCTAGAAGGAAAGGCGAGGTATGTCGCCAATCTATTTTATTTTTTATGATCTTCGAGTGTTTACTACCTCATTTAAATCCCAAAGCTATTTTAGCCTGTTTAGGAGCTCTGGTGACTTAAAAGGTTTCCCAGTTGCAATGCAAATAAAAATGTAGCTAATTTCAAGGAAAAAAACTCGACTATGAACCAAATATTAGCAAGTACGCGTCATCGTCACCCAGGCGAAAAAAGCCCCTTTTAAGCTTGTGCCAGAGGTGTACCGGGAGGCACATAACTATTTATTTAACGTCTCCGCCTTAACTGTGATCGCACTGAAGTATGCTTTCCCATTAGCGAAGGTACAAAGTACTAATGGGAAAGTGGATTGTGATGCAGAAAAATGCGTCACCAGAATCAGAAATCAGAAATTGAATTCTTTATAAACATCTGACACTTTTAACAACCGAATCTGGGATACATTTAGTGCCTTCAACCTTAATGTATTTTGAAAGATGGTCCAACATTGATTCTTGGAGATTTTTAAGGATGATTTTGCCCAGAACCTTGCTAACTCTAGGAATTGACCCTTGTAAACCCTGATTCAAGCTTTTTTATCATTAGTTTAATCTGGAATTATAAATTGTTTCATTTAATTATTAAAAAGCATCAAACATAAATGAATGTTTTCCCAAGGGATGCACTCCCTACTTCACACCGAAATCCGACGCAAATGCGCAGGAGATAAAAAAGACGTTGGGAGTAGCAACGATGTGTTTGATTTCAAAACATGATATAAGGATGGATAAAAATATTATCTTTTGGTTAATGCAGAATAGAGACATTTTGGGACAAACCCTTTCCTTTTCAGACAGACATATCATTTATGTTACCGAAAAAGAGGAGAACTTTCACTATTTGATACAAGGCAACAAGTCTGCTTCAGTAAAGGAAGAACAGAGGAGTTTTTTAGTTGTAAGCCTTTGACTTGATGCAAGCAATATTCTTATTCATGAGAACACTTGGATCGGCTGCTTCGTTAGCGAGAGTATTTAGTCGCTACGGATTCTAAAGTTGGCTCGTTCTTAGGGTGATAAAAGTGGCCTAGAACTTTTGTTCTACCGAAGAATCTTTTAGCTACGAGTAACTAGTAGACGTGGGTTCTATGAATATGTGTATTTTGTAACCCATTAATCGCGCTAATTTTGTAACCTGAAACTTTCCTTACTTTCTATTCTGCCACAAGAATGTTCTTTTGTCCTTTCTGTAACAAAAAGTGGTTTCAGGTAGAGGACGACCTTGGAACTGCTGTAAAAAACTAACCTTGAAGACAACATTTTATTAAAAACGAACGCCCGCATATCGCAAAATACCTTAGCCTACACGAAGGAAAAAAGATTTCCGATGGTACTGCGGTGGCTTATTTTGCATCCGGACGAGTGACAACTAGAGAAAGAGACAAAACTAGCACTTTCTTGGACGAAGGAAGGATTCGCCTTCCAAACGTTATGCAAAAATCATAAACTACTTCTTATGCGGGTCTCAAGAATCACATAAAATGGAACTGTGAGGAGAATTTACGTTGTTGACAACTACCGGGGCAGAAGACATTCCCATCCAAACAGTAGCTTCAAACGAGCCGAGATAATAGACGATTGCGGATTCATAAAATTTTCCATCCCTAATACAGCAATTTCCTGTTTTTCAATCCCAAATCTCAAATAAGCTTGACTTCTTCGTCTCCTCAAGTACGGCGTCTATATCCTTAAATATTTTAGACCAATTGGCGAGCCTTCAAATGAGCATTTTGTAATCTGTGAAAGCCCTTTTAACAAGAAAACTGTTTATTCTGGATAACCACACTTTTTTGCAAAGACCCCATGGGACATGGCGGAACTGAATTAGTGATAAAGGAATCGCGGCTTTTTTTCCACAACCCGATGTTTATTAGAAATTCGCACGATTAGAGGTGTGATGTCATAGCCTCAGCCAGGGCGAAGATTTTAAAACGCATGTGTTGCCAGAGGATTGAGTTTACTGCAGGTTTGGACTCACCATACACTGGTGAATTTGAAGCATTAAATACCAGGTCTGTACCCCATTTTATGGTCATTGTGTTGTGTTGCGATCTCCTTGAGATTAGGATAGGCCGTTTTATTTCTAGACAACTCACTATGGTGAGGATAGACGCAAAGCCTGTACAGAAATTGCACCAGCTAGGAACATTTTTCACATACAAGCTCAGTACAAAGACATAAATATTCCTTTTGAGTCATTCCTTGGGAGTGACAAAGTGAGTTCCAAAATTAATCTGCCGAATTTAGAAGAAAAGCAGTTGACAAGATGACAGAAGCCTATTGAAGATCATTTATACTGACTTTGAGTTTGGTGTGTCTACACAACTGATGAGGAGGCATGAACACACGTGACTAGGCACAAATTGTTATGAGACAGGAACAGAGGAGCCGATTTTCTTAAATAGGACAAAATCTGGCTAAACTTTTCAGTTCTGCAGTCGTTTCGCCAGAACTGATAATCAGTGTGCGCATTTATTAAACTCAAGAAATAACATCTTTAAAAAATCCTCAACTGATATGGTCCCCTCAAGCTAAAGTGGCAGAATTCAGCAAAAACCGAGTGAACTTCCTTCGCCTCAATGAAGTTTTACCTATTTAGTAGTTGAAACTACTTTAACTTTAAAAAAACCGTGATATGTTTCGTGTTTAGTGCAAAAAAGTTGCCTTATTTTCAAAACAATGAGGCGATGATTCCCCTTTTTGGGCACCATCATTTATGCAGCAATTATCAGGACAAAATTTCTTGTGTCTTGTGGGTAAACCCACGCCGCGTTCGGTATTTTGTCGTGAAGTTAAAACAGCCCTCCATGGCACCTCCGCAACCAGACGTGACTTTAAACATGCCACACAAATCAAAATCGCCATAAATGCCACCCGTTGTGTGAAATTTTCGCATAGTTGTAGCAACAGCGGAGAAAACGACTCGTTTGCATGAGATTAAACCATAGTTTGACGTTTTTAGATCGGTTACCACCTTAAAGCTAATTAAAATACTTTTGAAATCTGCGTAAAGGGCAATCTTGTGGTTCAAAAAAGTAAAGCTGGATTGTTTTTTAGGACAAAAAGTGCAGACAAGTGATTGGAAGGTCAACTAAATTGCCGCTTTTGATAGGTCATGTGGTAAGACTTCAGCTTAAGAAGTCATGCATTGTTTTGTGGTAACGTTGCTTAACCATTTTAGTCAAAATGTAAAAATATAAATTCAAATAACCACAATATTAAAAATACCAAAGAACCCGAGTATTTTATCGAAACCTGATGCTTTCAGGAGTTCCAAAATGTCTGTAAAAAACTTGTGATGCTAAAATGAATCGCAGCCGATGATTTCAAACATTCCGAACCCAGACTAGGTTTCCATATCGATGAGATTTACCAAGACTTTTCAGTGGACCGCCGCATATAAATTTTGTAAAAAAGATACTTGTAAAAAAATCCATGGGATTCTCGAATGAGTACTTATTCAAGACTCCTCCAATGGTGACATGCAACGATTGCCCCAGATTTCTTAAAATAAATGAAAAAAAGGGAAAAAAAGGATTCAGAGGGAATATAAAAGCTTCGAGCCGGTAAAGTCAAACTTCATATTTTATTGAATAATGTATTACAAGCTCTAAATCACCTAGGCATAAAATTGTGATACTTTGAACTTCTCAGAAGTAAAAAAGTGTTTAATTTCAATTTACGAATTTTGAAAAATTAAGGATTCTATTTAAAATAGTGATCCTATGTTAAGTTCCAAGAGTCGACAGGGTCTGAAACCATTGCTCACCTTTCGCGATGGTACATTCAGCGCGTAGAGATGAAGCGCGTCGAAAGTTCGCAGTCCAGAGAACCGAAAAACAAGATCCACTGCTGTTGTTGTTGATCGTCGAGTCTCTTCCCACCGTGAGCGGTTCCAGCCCACCAGACAGTCCATTGCCGAGGCTGCGGCAATGGCAGAGGAGGCGGTGTCGTGTTCCCATGGTGGCAACTGAAGGGCTTTAGTCGATGTGGAGATGCGAGAGTCGACGAGACAACCTACGCCGTTGTGCAAAATGCCACCACGAGGGTTCCGTTGACCATCGTAACAGGTGTCATGGAGGTTAAGGGGATTGGTGAAGGAGCTTAGATAGAAATCGCTGCCGTCTGGAATCTTGTATTCCACCAATTCGTCTGAAAATTTTGTTGAGATGGAATTAGACTACGAGGAAGGCAACTCATTTTCAGATCTTATTCACCTAGAATGCAATCGTAGAGGACGGGATCAGGGTTGTAAAACTTTATAATTAAACACCTTTGTCACGACCGTACTTCCTTACATGAAGTCTGTTCTGAAAAGTGGATTCTATAAATTTTCTGCCACTCAATCATCTAGATGTCATAGTTTAAATAATAACGGATGAATTCTGGATGTATTCAAGCTGATACCGAATTCTCGAAAAAATATCATATGCAAAACCTACCGAGAATAAAATCTTTTTATTCTTTCGAAATTGATCTACTTGGGAAGCTTTCCGCAGAAAGTAAGGTTCGGTTTAAGATGTCAGCTGCTTGAGGTTCTATTCAAGTCTTAGGAAAAAAAATAAAACCAAAGCGCTCGTAGAGCAAGACCTTTCGACGCCCATCATGGGTCTTTCGATCTTTTTGATATTTTCTTTTGAAATTGTCTATTGACGGACATCAAATCCTCTTTGATGCTTCCAGATCACCACTGCATTTTTAAAGGAGTTATTAATAAAAGACTTAGAGAGATTATATTTGACTAACAACCAGCTACTGACTGATTTATACCCCAAAAACTTTCTAAAGATCTCAGTTTTTTGTACAAATAGTGAACGGCTTAACTTGACAAGCAAATTTAGAGGAATACGTCTGAAAAATGGAACTTACCAGAGAATCGGCAGCCGTAAAATTCAAATTTGGCACAGACGAACATGGGTGTTCGACTGTATGGGTAGACACGAACCCATCGGGCAACGATGGGTGGATTTAGGGGAATTAGTTTGAGATCCAGATTACTCCCTACTCCGCGGATGATAAGGGTCTGTAAAAGGAAGAACACATTTCCTTTTATCAGGCCTAAATTTTTCATTCATGTGGCATCTTAGTTTGATAAAGAATTGTATATTTCTTAAACCGATTCCCGTGGAATTTTGAATGACCTCGTCAAATAATTTATTTAGAAATTCCAAACCTATAAAGGAGTCATATTTCTTGCCGAAGACTGAAGTTGAGACCAAAGCGATGGAGGGGAAAGAAGATACAATAAAGGGAAGTAGGTATATCCACTTACTTCAAATTACACGTGGTCGATCCAATTTCAAATCCACTTTAACCATTCAGAATAAGACGTAGGAGACAGGATAGGCTAGATGAATATAAATGCCTCAATTGAATGAGCAAAACTACGATCACTTGTGTTTCCTTTCCCGAAAAAGGAAGGCAAAAGTGAGAAATTCTAACCATTAAGTTCAATCCTTTTGCACATTTCTGACTGTCCAATAAAAAAACTTACATTTAACAAATTTACTAAAGGAATTTGGATAAAAGGTGTGCAAAAAGGGACACATTTTGGTCCAATAAACAGTTTTCACCTATTAAAGGCTATCAGCTACACGTCAACTAACATGTACAGAATTTTAATGTTATTTTGGTCGCATGCTGTCCTACTTTTCGCCACCTGTCAGGCAAAAGAAATTTCTACATCCATTATTAAAAAAAATGGATTTTAGAGTGACGATACAGTACTTCCTGATGCTTCTTCGCAGTAGGGAAGAAGAGATCTATCTTAGCCAACTACTTTCCATCATGTACTGCATCATTTTCCCGAAATTTCAAAATAAGCTAATGTCCGCTCCTTCTTTCATTTATCGTGCAAAAATAGTTTTATTTTTAAAGCTTCAAGAAATATGATCCAACTGTCAGTAGCGGTTAAAATTCTGCACCGGCCTCACAAACTGGGTTCTCTTAGAAGTAATTTATCAAAAATGAGTAAGTTTAGTGATGAAAATACTCCATTTTTCCTCTTTAACTTCCTATCAAATGGCATTTTCGTAATTCAAAGGTGGTCAAAGGATCCTACTTATTCTCATGCAGCTTGGACAACTCAAAAGTGGATGATTGAAAGCGTTGACTCCCTTGCTCCCTTGGTCTACATCTCGGTGTGTCAATGAGAGGAATACCAACATCCACACTCCCATTATCGGGAAAGCTTTGATGTTCACTATAAAAAGCTTGATAACCAAAGGGGATGGAGAATATCTAAAAACGCCTGCTTTATATGAAAAACAAAACTGTTAAGTTCGTAGAGTACTTGAAAATTCGAATTGTATAAAAGTGCACAGAAATTAAATAAAAAATTGGTTTACGAAAGGCTGACGCAGATTCTGCACTCAAGAGAGAGGTTCAAATGAAACTAGCTTTGTGGAGGGTAAATGAGCCACACTGGATCACATTCAAACAGAACAGGGACTCAAGTGGAACTGGGAATCAAGAACAGAGAGAAATGTTATCGTGGTGGCATTACACACTAGTAGCACACCCATATGGCGTGGGTCAGTTCCCTCCAGTACAGGCCAGTCTAGTCAAGACACCCTCCCTCAGGATGGCAGACAAAGGTGGCATTACATGCGTACATGGGCATCGAGAGAAAATATCATGTTACGAGGGCGCCAAAGCCGTGGCCATTTGAAAAGTAGAATTCGAGCAAAGTTTCGGTGATAGGATGCTCAGGTACATAGTAGTAAGACAATTCAACTGTGTGGATTTTTCGAAGATGGCTAACCATGCGTCTGTCAGCAATGATCCTCGCCCTTTCTACCTTCCGAGATTCTGTACGTAGGGCCCATTCCTAAACACCTTATCAATGTAAAATCTGCTCTGAAATCGGACAAAAGGCATATCTTTCATTGAAAATGGTGAACACGATCATACACGGATATTTGCTATTATTGGAAGGAAGACGCACGTTGGGCACCGATGACGAAATGATGTAGGTTTTCTTTATATGCTTCAGTCGTACTGATGGATGCCCCTCTGTCGAGGTTCCCAAGGCTTCAGCTAAACGCATGAATGTAGCAGACGACTATGAGGGAAAGTAAATACAGCTTCCAATCTTTTCTTCCAGGTTATGCCCTCTTTCTCGCTCTCTGGTTCTGGAATTCAAAGTCCGACCATCTAAATACTGGTAGGAAAGACACACAGAACGGCACCTCTTTTTGACCGTAGCTGGCCCCAGGAGGATTAATCTTTGATGACTAAGTCGGTAGTGACCACGGAACCTTTCCTTCACCTCCACCTTCTTCGCCTTAGGATTCCTCCAACCGAGAAGAATAAAAAATGGCGTAGGAGCCAGCTAGCGAGCGAACAAGGAAAGGGAGGACAGAAAGAAGGACGGACGGATGGTTGGACTGAAGGGAAAAGGGCATGAAGAAGGTAGCCTTTTTTCCACACACACATACACACACAGGAAAAAATGCAATCCTACGAGTCATCAGCAAGCGTCATCGCCTACTGCAGCGCAAATTGTCGTCACATTTCTGTGCCCTTCTTGAACGTTACCTGAATGTTGATATGATTGATTATGTACGAAATGGTGAATTATGATTATCCCTAAGAAGAAAAATCGAGGTCGGACATCCCAGCAACCTAAGAACCACACGACTTTTACGCATATACGCAAGCCTTTTCATTATGTATCTAGATACAAGTGGAAGGAATAAGCATAACTCCAGTTTCCAAATGGATTGAGGACTCATTGAACCACCTTCTCGAGAGAAAAGGAAATATGCGTTGCAATTGGTTTGAGCGATGAGTTTTAGGTCGAACTCGCTTTTAGAATCAGAAGAATGAACGGTTTCAAATTAGAGCTAAATCCTCTCCTGGTTACTTCATCACCATCTTTATGAGAATAATCAATGAAATATTATACTACTAAGGGTGTAGGAGAAAAGAAAATTGTAAAAATTCTGTTGCAAAAGCAGATTTAATATTTTTGAGCGTATAGAAGGCGGAATGGCTACCTTAAGGTCGGAAATAGTCAATTCAAATACTCATCAGAACACGAACACTTGGGAACAAAAAGGACGACTACTCTCTAGCAGACTAAAGGTTTGATTTCTAAAGTTATAAGAATAAAAATAAGAAGTAGAACCATAGGCACGATAAAATTATGGAGGAAACGACGAATGACTAGAGGTGATTGGATTTTAAGTAGGATCAAAACCCCAATGATACGATAAATGAACAGGATTTATCAAGGTTTCATCTTTGAAATTCTTTCAAACAAGGTCCGTGGTAAATCTAATTCTAGTGAGAGCTACCACTGAAACACTTAGAAATACGGAAGAAATGGCTCCTAGTGAACGAGTTTCGATGGCCAGAGAAACTAGGCTTCGAGAAATCCGTATGCGTGCACAAAGAGCCTATCGAATAACAAAACCATATCATATTTCACAGTCGAGCAAACAATTCAAGGCAAAGGCAACAAAAGTGACTCACGGAATTGGAAGAGCAGGATTTGTAATCACGCCAGTCGCTACTACCCTCTCGTCTGTAGCGAATCACAAAGGAGGGAGTGTACTGACATGAAAGAAAGGAAAGCAAGATGAGGTGAGGAGGTTACAAGAAAGCCAGAAACGAAATAAGCAGTCTGAGTGAGTAAGCAGGCACAAAATCCCATTACTGCATGAGTCATTTTGCCCTTCAGAATGAGGATTTGAATCTCAGTAGAGGCTAATATTCCCTTCTCCTTCTTCTTTATGCAATGGCAAGCTTTGAGAATTCTAGCGTTCTAAGAGGGTCTACTTATGCCCCATCAATAAATCGCAATAAGTACGTAAAAAAGGGAGGGTAAATGTAACTGGAAAATGGGAATAATATCCGCCTGCCAATCATTGGCCGAGAGGCATAAATTATGCGAAAATCTACATCATAGAACCCACTATTCCAATTGGGGCGCATAGTCTAGGCTAGGAGCCTTTTTATCCAACTTCTTTTCCCCCTCGTTGTTGTTTTTTTAAACGTCCGGGTGTTCGGTTGTTTTTTATTGCAAAAAATTGCACACGTCTCTTGTAATGCAGGAGTGACAAATCACACCTTTACACCGTTTAAAGGGCTCCTAACGAGGTGGGATTTGTGCAGCTGCTTTATGTATGAAGGTGGTATTCGCAAACTGATGCCAGAGGAGTTGTAGTTGCTTTAAGCTCTTTCCCTCAACCGCTGTACAATTTTCAGGCCTGTGGGACTTGTGATAACCGTTTATCCTACTCCTTCGACCTCGGTTTACTCCAGTACCGTTGTGGTGGACAAAACAAAAGGGCCATAACAATGAAGGACAATCGAGGATCAAAAGAGGACGAGGGGCCTGTGACGAAGTAATTTTTTGTTTCCAGTTTCTAGTGTCTTGGTTCTCAAGCTGATGGTGTGAGGATTTTGCTTTTGCCGCATGTGCTACAGATTCCTCAGCACTTCTATGCAATTGTGATAAAGCTGCCTCAATGCTCATAGATCTTATAATGACCTCAACATAGGTGATTTTGAGGCCACAAATGGCGCATCAAAGGCCATCTCTGTTGTAGTCTTTATTGACGATCCATGGATTCAAGTATGCAATTTATCTCATGACAAATCGTCACTATAAGTCAGCTTAAGTTGTAGATGAAAGCACTATGGTGGAACTTACAGCAACGTCGGAGCGTGGTCCAAAGGCAATTTTTGTGATGACATTCACTGCTCCCATATCTACTTGAATGTAGTCTGTGAGGTTGGTGGAGACTTTCCTAGAGGGACACCAGCCTCCAGTGAGCATGTCTCTGCAAGAGGGAATGCGGATGTCCAGAATTACCATTTAGACCTTCATGAAGCTTCAAACTAGCAACACCCACTCTGAAATTTATTTAAATCGGATATGAGTAAAACAATTACCTAACAGTATGGGAATTTATTAGAAATATTTTACTCGGTACACATGAAAAACGAGGGCCTATACATCTACTCAGAGAAGTACGCTTATCTTAGAGTATATGCAGCGATTCCAGTTTATTTCTATCAAACGCTGTTTGGCAAAAATTCCAGTAAATCTAAAGCTGTGAGATCCGTAATTATACAGTCTTTGAAACAGACCTTGACCGATGCCATCAATTTCGCAGAGCCCAATACCATCGTGAATCTAGCCAAAGAGAGATCCAAAAGTCATATTGAGCTTTCTTGAATCGATTTAGAGATTTCTTCCCCATAACTTATGGACCTGGTTGCAGCCGACTGGGTGTCCGAAACGAGTTGTATCCGGCACACTGACGAGGATGAATCCGTTTCTCATACACACCTGTCTACACCATTCAACGTAGTACTGAATGTTATTTACACGGAAAGCTTGCTATCATCTTGCTCTTATCTCTTGCTAAACTGTTAAGACACCCAGGGAGAGATATTCAGACGACTAGTTTAGACAGACTAGACTGCTTCTTACCTCGTGATTGGCTACGAATTTCAAAAAACTCTCGAACTGAAAGTAGAGCTTTTATATATTTTCAAAAGATCTTAAGCAGTATGTAGTAAATAACGAGTTGTGAAGTTACTCCAAAACTCCTCGGTAGGAAATAAATTCTGCTCAAAATTCAATGGTTTGAAGTTATGATCAAATGGAAATTTCCTCTTATATACCAGCTTCAAAGAGGTTCTATGGTATTTCCCTATTTTACAAGACTCATTTCACTAATTCCCAATTTATTCATAGTTCCGCACGCTCGGATTTCGGATAACCATTTTCTGTGTCCTCAAAACTCAAAATGTTATCGTTCAAGACACACTTAACGACCGTCCATCATACAGTTCATGAGAATTCAAGGAAAAACGAGACCATAACGCAGCCACCATCACTGATAGGGTTCGTGGCAGCAGAAGCATTGGTGAAAGAGGGAGCAAAAGATGGGGCGAAAATCCTCCTTATCCCATTTTAGCCTCATCTCTACCTGTGTGGTCATTTATAGACAATGCGTGGCATTGAGAGTCGTGGGTAGAAAAAAAAACGCAATTCTTCCCCATTTTGTCCTCGGAAAATGTCCCTTTCCCGCAACAGAAGAGCGCATTAGTAGCCGGGAAGCGTTTCAATTTTCAGTTTTTCAAGGTTGAATGATGCCCTTAAGCAAGTGAAACAAAAAATAGTGCTCCCACAAAATTAAGGCCTGGGAATCTGAAAGGACCTTCCCACTGCTGAGCAGGCGGAAAAAAAAGTGGCGTTCGTACTCATTTGAGAAAATTATTCACTCCTGTGGAAGTGGTCAGGGGCACTGGAAGGAGTGCCGCTGAATTGAGACACATTTAAATACATTATATATAACCATAATTAAATTCTGCAGTATCTACCTCCTGACTTACGTATCCCCACATTGGCAAAATTTGTTGAGGTTTTAGCGATCTTTTCAGCAGGTAACTTTAACTTCTTTTTCGTTACGTCTCGAACACTGTCTGGATTACATTTGGTAGGAATAATGAAAATTTGGAGTCGGCCTTCGTTTACAAATTTGTGACGTCTAGACACAGTACAATTGGAGCACTGTGGAGGTTCAATCGTGTGCCAAAGTGAGAACGTTGTTACAGTACAGAAGAGTCGGTAGTTTATCTCCTTAAACATCCCGAAAAGCATTTTTAAAGATTACTTTCATGATATTTGGAAGGAGTTAATTGCATAGAGTCCGTAAAAATAAGCTGCTCTGGTACTTCAAAAAAAGGGTCTGATTATACACGGCATGCACGTTCTCGCAGGATATGCGTGAGAATATAGACTGATTCTAGCAAAAACGATGCATCAAATCACGTTTTTTATTTTCATGAAGAACTGCAATGACAAAAAACGCATTACATGCAGTAAAGCCAAACAAAAAACAAACGCTATCCCATCCACTGTCCCTTTCTGAAAATAAATGAGTCTATTTGGCTTTTTTTCCTGAGTTAGATCGCAATAGGTAAAGTTTTGTTGCACGCCACTGGTGAATTTCTTTCCATGATTAATTGAAACAAAGTTGCAGCAGCAATAGTACTAGCAGTAAACACCTGTAATCCCGATGTTGCAGTGGTTCACTTCAGAAAGCTCTATGATACCCACATTCTTTGCCGGATTACTTATGTTTTGTCATTTATTTTGGGGTAAAAACTCACAATCCGCATAAGCATGTGGAAAAAAGAGCATTCTGATTAATAAATGTTGACAAACTCAAGACTACAGACATTTTAATGCCTCTCACTAAAAAGGAACTACATTTTAAGAGATTTTGAACCAAAAATCCACAGAAAATGGATTTTAACTGACCTATCGGATTAATGGTTTTAGCTCAGATGAACAACCACGTTTAATTGGTTAATCTGTCATTCAGAAGTATTGGAAGAACCGAGAGAGACGAACAAAGTACTTCAGTTGACCATAAAAGCACCTTATTTAATCAGTGAGTCATTTAAACAATAAAAGACTGAATTATTGCCTGCAGTTATTGTTAATTAGGATCCGAGAAAGATTGTTTAAAATTAAAATATAATGACGGGTTGAAAATCAACGACTATTCCTTTAAAGAAGTCAAATCAGCACATTTGTTACGAAGTTAAGATACTTTCGCTAATCGAAATGATACTAGAGGCTTTGAGATCCCATGGTATTTAAAGCTACCTGGAAATAGGTTGATCCGTCCATGCCATTCACGATTTCATCAGCCTTGCAGACCCTCGATACCAACTACATTTTCACCATGTTAATTAAAAAAGCTCTTTGTAGCATTCACCAAAAACAAATTAACTTAAAGAGGCGGTAGGCCTTAAAAATATCCCACTAGGGATATATCTCGCCAATTGTTAATCTTCCAAAAACCCGAAAAACAGTGCCGATCACTACAGCATAGTGAATAATTAATCTTTAAAGTGGGGTGAAGACACTCCTTTACTTGGCAAATGCGTTGTTTAAACGGTAAATCTGCTTAAAGTTTGAAGAATGAGGGCAGCATATGTCACCAACCTGGCTGTTTTCGCAGAGTGGTCCACTCCTGGACCCAGTCCAGCAATTGACTGCTCAACAGTCTCGGAATTGCTGGTAGCAGTGAATGCCGAGTCAGGCAATTCATTGACTCCAAGCAGAGCTTCGTCGCAGCTAGCTGAGAGTGCAAATTTCAGGATGAAAGACGTCAGGAAGAGGAGGAGGCATAGGATCCAGCTCCGAGGAACACGCATGGCTCTGTAAGGAGGTCAGAATGTCAAAAATGAGTGAAGTTCTAACTTTTCAGTGGTTCGATTGAAGGCAGTGTGCTACACTCTCCAATTACCTTGTGAGTACCGCATTTGTATGTGTGTGTGCCTCGGCTAATTACAAAAACCGGATTGTTCTCATGGTTGCAAAGAGAATGAGAGAGAGGGGGATGATAAATTTAATGCGTGCGGTGACATTTTTGGTCGTAGTTTTTTGTGCTCGATCAAAACACGGTTATTTCTCACGACCACCGTCTCCATAAATAACAAAGGAAGGCAGGTAGTCAGGCAGGCAGGTACACAAACATTCGATCAGGATTGGTGAGGGTTTTATGAAAAAGGTCAATCGGTACGATAAACAGAGAAAATCCCAGGATTTGCGGAAAGACCATCTCAGATGTCATAAAGATAGCATGATAGGGGTAAAACTCAAGATTATTAAATACAGTCACTTTGAAGTCACTTTATTACAGTAGTCCATTCAATATTGGGCATTTCAAGCTAAAATACTTCAAGAGATGTAAGAATGAAAGCATCGCTGTCACTTCTATTAACGAAAAATGATGATTTTGGTAGACCGAAGCTCCACCCCTTATAAACAGTTAAGCTGAGTGGAAAACGGTGAATTGTAGCGACAAAGAAACCCATGAAAAATGAAGTGAATGCCTTTACGAATGAAACAAATCACTAAAAGGGTTGACAGGTACCTCTTTTAAGCGTAAATATCAGGAGACCAAAAGGTTTGTGTGATTTTTAGGCAGCTTTGTGCGTCAGTGTCTTTGCGTTGCTCCCTCCTACCCGCTCCTTATTTCAAACCCAAATATCGTCAAATAATAAATAATTTGCCTGGTTTACGAATTGTGCTTATCTTGGCTCCAGAGTCCCAGAAATTTCTCAGAAAATTGGGTTTATAGTATTTAAAGGAAGTGAGGAAGTAAAACCGTGCCGCCAATTCAAAAGTTTAAATACAGCCCTAGCGACGAATCCCTCAAAGATGAATAAATCATGTGTTTTGATAATGAGGAAGTACCTGTTGCTATTTAGAAAAATTATTTTGGTTGCATTTGCAAAGGATAGTTGCTCTTTTCACATCTGATGTAAAAAGAGCTGTTCCCACGAGACAATGCACATACCGCAAGGACTCGTCCTGCATTCCGCAAAAACTAAGCCGTAAGGAAATGGAAGGAAGGTGCAACTTCTGTCTCACGCACATCTATATCCTCCGTATTTCATCAATTGATGATTATCAACGTTTGTCCGCATTTGACAACCACATAATTAAACGCCAAATAGAATAGAGTGGAACAGAATCGGTGGTTGAGAAAGTAAAGTGTGACGGAAATGCGGATGACCAAGAACTTTTAATAACTTTCTTAAATAAATCAGGAATTTGAATTATTGTATCAGAGAAGGAATAGTTATCTAACTCTCAAACGGACCTTTCGATTACCGCAAATATGATAAACCAATATAAACGATTGTTGTTTACAAACATTGCAACAAGTCAAACGACAACTTAAGAAAAAATTAACAAAAATATCAAGTTAAAACTTTCTGTGTTGTATGATTTTGGCCGTAGATACGCATAAAGTAATGTGGGAGTTTGAATGCATGGTTAACTACATCGGCTCTCCACAAAGAACCATGCCTATACCTGTTCAACACCAAGTCATTGCCTCAACCCGACGCGCCTAATTACAGTACCTGGGAAGACGCCGGTGCTGCACAGTACCTACCATCCATCAAAAATTGCTTTAATCAAAAGGAGGACTTGATGTAAAGTCGTTAAAATTGATGAGGTGGAAGTGCCCACACACAAATAAGAGCAATCTCTAAATAATTGCCCTGAAAATTATGTAATTTAATCAGAAATGTCAGCTTGCAGTATGACAGGACGAATATCCAGAGCAGTAATTGGTGCAGATTAACCAAACACTTTTTTGTGCGAAAGGGGATTTGCCTTTAGACCACCTTTAACAAACTACCAACTCTATTAAGCTTGGAATGAAAATGGATAAATTTGTTAGCCTCTGGTGGAGCCGGCCCGGTAGACGAGGCAAACCAAGCGTAAAATTGGGACTGCTTGAAGCGCCAGTCATCAAAAACCCCATAAGCCTCACGACAAGGTCAAAGTCGGGGAGGCCGGGAAAAACCGCAGTGTTTATACGTGACCTCAGTATCAACTGTCACTCCCCAATACTGAATGGTTGTTCAGCCTAGGCTCGACACACGTCCAAACATGCATTTTATCGAAGTACATGGAACCCACGATTAGAATCAGCTCAAGATGTCGATAAATAACATAAACTAGTAAAACATTGGAGGCAGTTTTCCATATAAAGTGGCATTTGAGGTATTAAGTTTCTGGATGTGAGTCGAAATCTGGAAGTATTTTGATGGTCTTTTTGGGGTCGGCTGTCTGATTTTTGCAGTAGAATTAAAAATGATCCAATGGTCCTGTATGATCAATCAAATAAATGAACGGATGGATAAAAGAATGGATAAGGGGGTGCATTGATGTATCCATCACCTCCTTCCACTCTGATAGATCAAAATTCTACAAAGCTTCAAAGGACTAGGTGATTTTCAATTAGCAAGCCAGATATTCTGCTCTGCATTGAATCATTTCACCATGAAACCCGTATCCCCAAAATAGCCCCGTTTATCGGACTTAAACACGGATTCACAGAAAAAAATAGTTCCAGAAAGGCGACAATTTGAAAGATAATAATCAAACCTGAGAACATGTGCACGCAACCGAGGCAATGACACACTCAATTAATGGTTAAATTTGTGAACAACTAGTGTGAAAATCAGCCTAAACTGCCGTACCCCGGGAAATTGTACAGCCCATCCTTAATGGTATCATAAATTGTCGGGAGCCAATTCTTATATTTGCCGATAGAACATGCAGTTTAGATATTCTGATAAGTGTTTTCCGTAAGAAAATCATTTCGAATTCTTCATTGGTTCATATTGACTTTCTAGAGATTCAAATGATCAAAGCACCATTCATCAATCTTATAAGACACGAGCGAAATAAATGATATTTTTACCACAAAAAATCGTGTTTCCATGCTGCCTTGTGTGGTAGCAGAGAACAAAAGAAACCCCTGTTGTAGATAGGTTCAACGTTCAAAAAAACGGAGGTGTTGTTTACGGGAAGTAGAGTTACTGCAATACGTTAGTTGTTTTACTCTCGGTTTTGGCAAAGAACCACTTCGTGAGGCAGCCATTGTACCTTTGCCCAGTGGACTGGCCTCTGGGCCACGCCTTAGCTCCAGGCCCTTCAGTATGTTGAATACATCTACGTTCTACCCCAGTATTATGTCTCCTTTTGTCTTCAGGGAAGACTCGGGGCGCTACAGTTACAACTGTTGAAAAAGTGGAATCACAGCGATGTCCGATGTTTTTAGGACTAGAAGTGAAAAACAAACGCGCGGGTTGGGGAGGAGCAGAAGGCGAAAAAAGATTTGCTAGGGGACAGATATGGGAGGTTTAGCACTTTTCTGCAAATGCGTTTCTGCGGTGGTTGATTTTTTTGGCCAAATCCACCTCTCCAACCGAGAACTGTAAAGATTGGTTTAGGTATTCCTGCATGGAATTTGGTAGTTATTTTATCTCGAACACTCCACTACAGGTACGGGTTAAGCATGTCCTCTCCATGGTCACCTGGTCGATCACTCCCCAGATCGGGTGGTTAAGTGGGTGGCCGACACAGGGCTGCGTCCGATGAAAGGGACTGGCCAAGTTTAAGGTAACTTACCACAGTGTATCTAGTCAGATGAATTATCTACCCGATCAGATAACTCAAACAAACTAGTGTAAAATTAAAAATTCTAGGCAATTTAGCAATACTTTAAGGTACTAAGAATGAAAATGACCTTGGCACGAAAGGTGAGGCAAAAGCATGCGTTAATATGCTTTTTCTATGTGTGAAGAAAACTTAAGGAAAGTTAATTTTTCTCATCAAATATTTTAAATTTCATTTCTTGGAGTTACTGGAAATTTCGCAATATTTAGAACCCATTCCCTTCAATTGCCCTTAGCTGTCCTTTACGAATAACAAGAATTGATGCAAGGACATCTCACTAACCCGATTTCCTATCATTTAAATAGTTTTAACACAATCGACTCTCTTGGTAGCCAAATCAGAAGTATGTAATAGCCGGTACTCAAGGTGGGAGAGAGCTGTGTTTTGACGATTTCCTCTATGAAACGGATATTCTTTGTCTACCGTGTTACAAACCTGCGTGGTTGCAATCATTCCATCTTTGATTTTCCTTTTAAGCCCCACCCTTGTATTTTTAAGGGCAATGAAGTGGTTTTGTTCATTTGAACAACTGGTGTTTGCGGAAGGTCTGAGCTGGTACTCTTTTTCTACAGGTGATTTTTTAGCTAAAGTAGCCTCTAAAAGAACCTCGATTCACCTGCATTACATTGGTTCTTGGGTAGCCATCAACACTAAGATTAAAGAAGCTCAGCTTCATGATTCATTATGGCGACAATAGAATAATATTTGTTAAAATGTTATATGAGTTTGTGTGCCTTTTTGATCGCTAAATATTTGGATAGGGTTGTATCCATGCCGTCCCTGGTTCTAATGCCGAGGTCATTCCATAAGTTTACAATAAAACTGCAATCTGGTAAAAACGCTTTGGGAAATAGTCAAGGATAAATAGAACGCTACATTTGTCCACTTTCCGCCTTCGGCTTCTCACATGTATCGCCAAGGTTAAAATGAGAAATGGCCCGGGGCGCTATGCGTCATGATGACTGAGGGGAAGCCCGGCCCGAGCCTATGTGCGTGCGTGAATGAGTCATCCCGGGGACTTGAAGGTGTTCGACGTCGTCGCCATTATGGAAGTTAACAGCCATGGGCAGAATTGGCGCATACACCTACCCCTCCCTCGTGCGCATTGTCCGTTTACTGCTGAATTCGCGCAACCGTGAGAACTAACCGCGATTTTGCTTTACCTCAAGCACAGCGTCTAGTTATATAGTGGCCAGGGGGCGGCAAAATTTTGTCCGTCGACAGTTGGAAGGAGGAGGGGGAGGAGGAGGAGGAGGAGG